TCATTCTCTCAAATAAATAAATAAAATCTTTAAAAAAAAAAAAAAGAAGCAACATCTGAGCACAGTAACACTGTGCTTATAAGCATAGATGTTTATAAAGTGGGAGGCCACAAAGCAAAGAGTGCGTGCGTTAATAAAATATAAGTTTTCTTGCCACAAAGCTGTAAATAAAAGAGTACCCATAGGGAAGGAGCAGCCAATCCTGGAAATCCTAGCTCCTGTCCCTTGAGATTCAGCTTGATCTTACAGAGCTCTCACTGATCACCCCGACCACAAACTGGCTAGCACTGTGCCCGGTAGGGTCGCACATAACTTGTCCCTTAAAGGACTCACAAAACTGCAAAGCCCACTAGAGGGAAAGGAGGCCCCAGGTGTGCTAGAATTAGCTCTGTCCTCAAATACCTGGAGTTTTTTGTTTATTTTGGTTTTTATCTCCCCACTCTGTTTGCAATAGCATTTCCAACACTCTGTTTTGCCAGTGGTGTTCCTGTTCACATCCAGGAAGAGAAGAAATCTCCTTCAACTCTGGAATTTAAATCCTCCTCTTGAGTCTGAGGAAGCCAACTCAGGACATATGACTGCCCCTGGACCAGTTGCTATGCCATGCATGGATTGGCTTTGATTAATTATCTGATGTGAAATTGTTGTTGGGGAATTAACCATAATACCTTCATCACTCTGGAAGAACAAGAGGAAACACAGAGAATGAAATATAGCTAATTGGATTTACTTGGTTCAATTTGTCCATAATTGCCTTTTTCTAGATGAGTGCTTTTCAAAGTCTGGATCACACCCTATCAGCACAGAAGTTCTCAAGGTGTGGTCTAGGCTCCTGGCATCCCTGAGACCCTTTCAGAGAGCTCACAAGGTCAAAACTGTTGTCATCAGAATCCTAAGACATCACTTCCCTGTTTCACTCTTGTTCCCTCGCAAGTGGACACTGAAGTTTTCCAGAGGGTCAAGGATGGACGATGATGCCATTGCTCTGTCAAGGATGGGTTATGACTTTGTGTATTCTTGTGTTTAAAAAAACCCCATTTTTCATTTCTAATACAGTATCAATAGCTATAACCCACATAAACAAAGCCTCTTTAGTGTCCTCAAAAAATTTTAACGGTGTACAGGAACAGTGCTGAGATGTAAGAGTTTGAGAACTGCTGTATCAGTTCTAAAATCAATTTTAGGGGCACCTGGGTGGCTCGGTCGGTAAGCATCTGCGTTCAGCTCGGGTCATGGTCCCAGGGTCCTGGGATCCAGCCCCGCATCAGGCTCCCTGATCAGCAGGGAGTCTGCTTCGCC